CCACCATTCGACCGCTATCCAGCATGCATATATGGTATTGAGTTCATAAAAACGAAGTAACACCTTAAGTAAGATGACATGATGTAGACAAAGTAAACCAAATCAATATGAATAAACCCCATTGTTTTACCCTTAATGGCAACAATACAAATATGTGTCTTGCCCTTTTCCGTCACTGGGATATAGAGCACAGCAAGATTGAACCCATTACAAAACACCTCTCCCACTGAAGATAAATCAATATAGTTGGTCAAACCAAACGGATAGATCGGAGTAATACAAAGTTATAACAATTATGCATAATAAAATTCAGAAAAGACTCAATTACTTCCCATAAATATTCTGATAATAAACCCACAATTCATCGGATCCCAGCAAACATACCGCAAAAGAAGATTACACTACTACCGTCCACGCGTGTTGACTTTCATGTGATATGCGCCGCGGCGCCTCCCTTGGCGCGGGAACGTCACCGTCCGCACCGGTCTTCGACGCGATGTCGGGTTCATTATCGCCTACTTCGAGCACCGCCATCACGCTCCTTCTCTAGCCACCGCCGCCGCCTCCTTAGGCCTTCGCCGCCGCTGCTCTTCTTCCGCGGCTCCACGGCGACTACCTCGACACCGGCGATCCCCGACTCGACACCGACCACGGCGTTCTTCGCACGGCTACCTCGACTACGGCTACACCACCTACGCTCTCGGCTACCTCGACAAACGGCACAAAGGGTTACCGCCTTGCTTGAGCAACCTCGTCGGTTTCCACTCCAGCCACGCCTTCCGCGATGCGTCGACCGTTACGACTGTGGGGGGGTGTCCGTCGGCTTGCCTTCGGAATCTTCTCCAGTCTCACTGTCTGCGTTGCTACAGTTGTGACTGCGGGGGGATGTTGAGTATCATTGTTATTATGGAAACATGGGATAGTGTAGGATCTTTCCACCTTGCCTTGTACTCCAAGACGACCTTGTACTCCTATATATATGCCTATGAGGCTCAAGCAATAAAGAATTATTCCATCAATCCCCTCTCTCCCTTTTAACATTATCTTCTACATTCTCGAGATAAAAATTTCTCACACGCTTAATCCTTTTTATTTTCTTCTTTTCCCTCGTTGTTGTTTCTAATTATGATGAATTTAACCCATACTTTTTTATTTCTATTCCACTCTTTTATCTTTGCCATTTTACGATTTTATCATGAGTTCTTTTTTTGCGGGTAAGATTTTATCATGAGTTCAATCTATTATAGAAGCTTTCACATCTGGTTCCATACTGATACTAACAATTGTTGTAATGCATCCTAGATACCCTCTTAGTGTTGTGATGGAAGGTGCTCTGCTAAAAAGATTTAGCAAGAAATATGTACGGCTTAATGTTTATCGTTCCAATCAGAATAATATGGGAGCACTGGAGCACTAATCCCTCCATATTGTACAGTCTAAACTTTGTTATGGTTGACCGAAAAGGTGAGAGCAGCTATTTTTTGTAGTTAGATTTGTGTTGCTTAGTACCTTAGTTAAAAATGACAGATAATGCCATTGATTTTCTTTATACGAAAATACAAGATGAGCAAGTTCAGAGACAGAAACCCAGTGGGGCGGTGTACAAGATTGAACGACATTTGATAATGAAGGCAAAGGAAAAGTACAAAGCAACATATCACATTATATAACCTTTTGTCGGCAGAACCAACGTGATTCTTATAAATCCTCGGCCATCGGGCTTTCCTATGCTTTGCTTCTAATGTGCTTCTGCTTTCCAAGCTTGAAAAACATATATGATCAATTGTGCTTAATTATGTCAGGTTAGTTTGCATGAATTTTAATTTGTGAAATTCAACTTCCTTACCAGTTTGCTCTGTCCTACTTTGAAACTCTTGCATTTTTCTGAATTTATAGATGTAGTTGGTTTGGTTACTGTTGTTGCCAACCTTTTGCCCCCTACCGGTGCTGCTAGAGAACCAAGACACCAAATTTCCATCACAGATGAAGAGTGTGTATTTTTATTGAGATCATGGCATCATACATTTTACAAGTAGTTTCATCGCATGAAATAACTCGATAATGAATTGTGAAGAAAACATGCAATTGTTACTCTTTGGGGGAGATTTTGTGCATGACTGGTCTAAAAAGGAAACCCATTCTGATATTGTTTGTTGGAGTAATGGACCAGTACACATGCATGTATAAATATTGGCCAACATGTGTTCAGATTTCGTTTGTTCACTGAAACTTGCGCAAGCCACCTAAACAAAATGTCTCCAAAATGTTCAGGTGCAACGGCTTTCAAGAACACATTCTCAACTGCTCTCATGTTATAATATTTCATTCTGATCTCTCTGATGCTTTGTGCACTAGCTAATTATGACATGTTGTAATTGTATAGAATTAGGAATGATCCTAGACAAGGCCGTCGAGAAGCAAGTGAAACAACTATCAATGCCTTGGCTGGTGTAGAACCTAATGATTCCATGGTACCGTGAAAATATCTTGATGTTGCTTTCATTGGTATGCACATTTTGGGCTTAAACACATATTTTCAACCCCTATGTAGAACCAGTCTTACAAGCTTAAGACCAAGATCATTGAGGTGGTTTCCATTAGCGAATGATGATATATGGGTTGTAAAGTTTGTTGGAAGAAACTGAAGATTTTAAAACAACACATGGGTCCTTCGGCCATGGGTCCACTACAACAATCTCTCGATCCTTTCATGGCAAAATCTGAATAATATCCTCGTGAAGACCAGGAAGCCCGCTAAGCATGATTTTATAAGCTAACTGTCCATGAGTCGCATGAGAACCACACTGCCAAATACCCAGGGTATGATAATGCAACGGCTGGGGAGACGACTAAAAACTCCCCAGCCAGGCGCCAGGCGGGATGCAACAGCAACTGCAAACCTGTTTTTTTTTCTCGCATATACCCGTGACCCATACTGGAAGACGTAAAGCAGTTAGATACCTGTAATAGCTGTGCGTGATCCGTACCGGAAGACGTAATCCCGTTGGAGAACCATGCGGTGCGTAATCCAGGATCAGAGCCACACGCGCGGGCTCCGACTCCCACCCACCACACGCCCAGCCGCCGGCACGCGCGCGCGCACGCCACAGACAGACGCGGCCGGCCGGAGACCGCGCCACGCATGCTCCTCCCCCGCCTGCTCCCCGCGCACCGCCTCCTCGCCGGCGGCCCCCGCCCTCTCCTCCTCCTCCCACGCCGCCGCCTCGCCCCCCGGCCGCCCGCCGCCGTCC